TCTCTCATTCTGCACCAATACAAACGTGTGCGCGCTGCGTATGTTTAGCTTGCTTTCAGGCCAAAGTATACTTCGGTTTTTACTCGTACGCGACGGTCCTTGTACACTGCGTGTGACGCAAATTACATCACCAAAATAGTACGCGTGCACTCGTATAATGTATAACGAGTGGTTCCCTGCATTATTTTAGGAAAATGTTTTGTGATTACAGTATTGAGCTGCTGCAATGGAGCAGCTCTAATGCTCCATTAAAATGAACAGTGAAAGTAACAAAAGCTTATACAATGCATTTTAGCAGGTATAATTAAGTGTGGAAATAACTGAAGGTAATATCTGTTTGCTAAATGAAGCCAACTAACATGATTCATATTATTATTATTACTATTATTTTGTTTCTGTACCCAATATTAAAAAAAAATACAAATGCTGTGAAAATACAGGTATCAGTATCGGTATCGGCGAGTAACAAAAATGAAAGTATCGGTCTCGCTCTGAAAAAAGTGGTATCGGTGCATCCCTAATAATAATATTTCACAATATTAAATTTTTTCCTGTATTTTTTGACCAAATAAATGCAGCCTTGATGAGCATAAGAAACTCCTGTAAAAACATTAAAAATCATTCTGATCCCAAACTTTTGAACGGTAGTGTATATTTACACACACACATATACATATATATATATATATATACACACACACACAATTTTTTTAAATATATATATTTCATATTATAGTAATGAGAATAAGATTTGTTTGCAAAAAAACGGTCCTAAAACCTAAAACCAAGCTTCGCTGTTTTTATGTAAAATACATATACATTTTCTATATTTCTTGCTTTTGATTTTTGTGGTGAAACACGACTTGAAAATCATTTTTGACAGATTTCCTGAGATTCACCCAACAAACATCTATTAATATCCTGCTGCCCGAGGAAACTAGCTTCAACAAGCCCATCACACCCTTCACGTTAATTACCACAATGTCCCACACTTCATTTACTGAGGATTTATTTCAGGCATGATTCATGCTTTAATAAAATGACACGACAGAACGAGCGGCCGTGTTGGAGTTTTCCGGAGGATACTTTCATAACAACAGCATCAGGATTATTAGCAGCAGGAGAGTCGCCGCTAGAGAAATAAGGAAATCACTGTACTGCAAATATAATTAGTGCACAATTATGGCAGTGATGATACGACACCTTCACCTAATGAAGTGGCGGAGCAGCTGTGCTAATCATTAACAAACGCAGCGACACGCTGACTATTAAACTCGCAGATAGTAAAAAGACACACAAACAGGTGTAGTATGTAGGCTACATGGACGGATTCAGTCCTCAGGTAAAGACTCATGAAGTGAAAGCGAATGGAAACCCCAGTGAACGAGTGCATGAGAAGAACGAAGCTCCATCTGCCGCTGCATTAGTC